CCTTTGTGGAAGGTGCCTGGTACTGAGAGATGCTGGAAATAGTAAATGTTGATTATTTTGAAGAGAAAATCCAGGCAGTGCTGCATGACCTGCATGGGGGAGTTAATCTGTAGGCAGTTGTTCAGAATAAAGGAGCATAGCTTTCTGCAGGGAGGCAGCAATTTTTAAATTTTATTTAAAAAAAATATTAGAAGCAGCTTGAACCTGACTTTGAGCAGGTTTAACTCTTTATTTTGTAAATGCCTTATTGCAGCTTAATCTTTGGCATCAAGTCTGTTCCCTTCTGTCCGCAACCTTTCCCTTTGCCCTATTAACACCAGTTTATACCACGAACCCTGAAATTTTGCATAGGCTTATGCGAAACAGGCACTTTACATTTCACGATGCTACTTACAGCACTGCCTGTCTCAGCAGGATCCAAAGACACACACACCCAACTGTTCAGCATCCTTTCTGAGCAGGCATGCAGCATTTTGTAACTACTTCTGCTGAGTATGCAGTGATGATGATGGTTGCTACGAAGCAGTTGGTGGCTTATTCTTGGGCTATCTGTTTCTACATGTAACCCATTTACTGCCATCGTTATCACCTCAGATTGCAGCAAATTACAGCCTTGGGTATGGTAGTGCAGGTGCAGGCTGGCTTTTTTAGTCATTATTCAGTGCTGTTCCCCGCTGTCACCTCCAACCCCATGATTGTCATAAATGCTCTGGTTTCTTTCCTTCTGGTGCTCTGAGGAACTGATGAGTCTTAATTTACTATCACCGTAGCTATTTTCTTTCTTCCTCTCCTTAAACTCTCAGGAGCAGCTGGGTAGATGCAGTTCTCCTTGGCATGGATTCTGGGCTGCAGAAAGAGCTAGAAATGTCGGGGGCAGTGCAGAAGACCTGTGCCTTTGACCTTCAGCTGTCAATAGTTAGCTTGGTGCATGCATGTTGATTTCTGCTTCGGCTCCAACCGTTATGTTCCCTGCTCCCCCTCGTGACCTGTGCTCCAGCCCCTAGGAAGAGACTTATTTTCTGTTCTACCCTAATGCCCGTGAGCCTCGATGACACCTTTCGATAACACCGTAGTGGGGGCTTCTCCTGGGAGAAGAGGTGAAGCAGAAGGGAGAGAGGAACCTTGTGGTGGACCTGGGCCAGACAGAGCCAAGCTAGAGCTCTCCTCGCCTCTGGTAATCCCTGTTAAAGGTGCTCAAATACTGCCTGGTGGAGAGCTACTCCTGTAATTAACGCCAGCAATTATTTGGTTCAAAGTAGAGTTTCTGCTGCCCGTGGTGATGAGCTTTACCTCATCCATGATGAGGTTCCTATACTTCTGACCATGGGTTTTTCTAACACTTTGTTGCTGTAGCTGAGGCAAACCTGAATTGCAAAAAACCAGACATTTTTGATGGTGACTCTACATGTGGCTTTATGATTTTCTTCTGTCACAGCTCGAGGGTCATGGAAGTGTAGTAATGGCAGGGCATATGGCCATCGACTGACTCTACACCAGGAGCTGCACTAGTAAAGAATTAGGGCTTCCCTTCTTGCCAGTAAATAGGCAGTACTAAGAGGAAGAAAACAGGACGATGTTGTTGTGAGTCCAAGTTTTCAGGGGGTTCCGATACATTTAGTGTCTTCATTTGTCTGGTGATATGCTAACAGCAAGCAGTGGAAACCATTCTTGGGGTCTCTTTTCCATTCTCATCCTCATTTGTTGTCATTCTCCTCCAAAAAAAAAAAAAGTGACTGAATTACCTGTGGAAAGTGATATGTGTTGTCCATGTTTCTAGTCTTTGAAATGCCCGTTGGGAGGCTTCTTCAGTCCGCTCTTGCAGAGGGCAGGAGCAGGTTGAATCTGTTCCCAATGATGGGGCAGAGAACCTGCCTTGGTCAGAGGGAACTCTCCATTGGCTGCGAGTCCTGGGGGCAGCTGGCTTACAGATGGTCAGGAGGTGGCAAGTTGCTCTCCAAATTACCTGCCAAGCTCTAGAAGCCCTTGGTGATAGACCTGCAGAATGTGGTTCTGCGTCTGCAAGCCTGGGTTCCAAAAGCTGCTCGGACACAGCACAAATAACAGCTTTTGTTGTGAGAAGCCTGGTAGCCCTTCCAGGACACTGCCTGAGCTCTTGCCCTGATGGCATGTTGTTGTGCTGGGGCTCCCAAGCTTTGCTCAAGTATTATTTTTGGCAGCACCAGCAGCTCCTCGCTGCACCTAGGAGACAGCATTTAGCTGCCCTGACAAGGAATGAGGTACAGGTGCCACTGTTGTTTGGGAACCTTGTTGTAATACAGCCCACATCCTTCAGCACGGGAAGGGTAGCTACGTTTTTAGGTGTTATCAAAAGAGGTATAGTCTGCCCGACGGCAAGAGAGCCAGAGCTGATCCAGACAGTGCCTTGATTAGGAACTGATGGACTGAAGAGAGTTTGGTCTCCCACCTGACCACGTTCTAGCCACCTTCCACTGGATAGCGCTTCTCGGCTTCAGAGTCATGTAGCAGATAAATACTGCAGGCAAATTCTGCTTGGATGAGTTTGGACTTGAGGGGATGTGGCAGAGAACAGAACCATGCCCTGGTCAGCCAGCTTTTCCATAGCACTGAATGCTGACAGCCCTGTTTTCACCAGCGTTTGGCACTTTTGAATACTGGGCAGCATGCACACTCTGCTCCTCTTCAATCTGGGGAGCGGTGGAAGATCAGGGGAGCTGGTGATGCTCTGTCACGTGGGCATCCCTGGAAGAATCCACCTTCACCTCCTTGAAGTCTGAAACGCCTTCTTCACTTACTGTCAAGCCTGTGCTTGAGCCTCTGAGCCTCGGTCACCCAGTGTCCAGAGCGACTTCAGGAGCACATCCTTTTTGCTTCTTGTGGCATGTGCTAGTAGTATGCTCAGCATGGCAAGACCTCCTCAGCACTTTGGCCTAAGCTTGGGCCAGGCAGGCAGTGAAGGAGGAAACGATTTCTTAAGGTTATTAAGTTTGTTTGGGGTTTTTTAAGGGCATTTTGTGTCTGTGATAAGCCTGCCCAGGTTCTCACAGGACTGCATGATCATGGTCAAAGGCAGTTTGGCACCCAGCCATCCCAGAGCCAGCCTGACATCCACAGTAGAGGTGACCCTGCTTGCAGGCCAAAGACTTGCCCTTCCTGTAGCCCAGCCTGCTCTTTAGGAGCGCCGATGTGTTGCATGTGTGAGCTCTGCCTGCCTTGCAGAGCTGTCAGCACAGGGCTCTCTTGCTGGCCCCTTCAAAGGGGCTGTTCTGCTTCGGATGGGGGTGTAGGGAGCCCCACCACAAGTGCCTCAGGAGACACTTCTGCGTAGGAGCACGGACTCCGTGTGTCAGTGAGAGAAGACGCCACAGGGGAGCAGCATTGCAAAGCGTCCTTCGCTGCTTTTAGGAGCCCTGCATAGCAGCTGGTGCTTCCCTCGGTAGAGCTCCAGTGCCTTCTGCCTGTCGTGCTGCCACACACCCTCTCATCCCTCCTCCTCACCCTCCTAGAGAAGGAGCTGGAAGAGGCCAGGATACCAGCCAAATGCTCTACAGCGTTTCATACAGCCAAGGTAGCTTTATGCAGCTTGGCGTTAAGTTGGCCTCTGTGTCTATTACAGGGAGTATTTGGGAATCTTGGCTTCTTGTTTTTGTTCCCTTGTGTTGATTCCTCTCCTTTCTTCTCCCCCCACCTTATGTCCTGAGCCAGCTGTAAGCAGCTGTGAGCATGGTACCTAAGGATCCTTGCTAGAAAAACTTGGGCCCTGCTTTATCATCTGCCAGTTGTTTGTTTGAAGGTGTTGATAAAGCAGGAGGTGGGAGCCCTGTCCTGGCGCTAAACAGGGGTGTACTCAAACACTGAATGAAGAGGCCAGAAGACACAGTCTGGAGCTGTCGGCTTGCCCTGAAGCTAAGGGCAAGCAGAAGCTGCCTCCCACATGTCTCTGTGCTGATGTTGGCTGAAGTCAGCGGTGGTCTGTGTGCAGAGGGTTCCCAGACCAGACCTCTAATGAGAATGATAATTGAACCATCCTCCTGCCAAACCTGCCCGGCTTTGATTGGCATCCCGATGCTGATTTGTTCTCTTATTGGCTTTCACAGGGGAACTCACAAAATACTTTTTGAGTGAGTTTGACCTTGAGCTCGCTGCCTTGACCTGCTTTTCACTTCCTACAGATGGAGATGCTTGTTCTCCTGGGCATGTCATGGATGTTTTCCAGGGTAACACAGAGCCTTCTGAAAGGCAGGTTTGGGTGCTGCTTGCATTATTCCTGACCCTAGTGCTTTGTTCCCTGGCCCAAGAAGCCTGCTGTCCTCCCCAGTAACACGGTGCCATTTGTTCTGCAGAAATCAAGGAGGTGGAAAAGCAAACGAGAAGGGACAGATGCCAACAACCGACCCATCAAAGCCGCCGGGAAAGTTATTATCCAAGATATTTCCTGCTTGCTGCCTGTCCACAAGCTGCTAGGAGAGCTCTACATGTGAGTACGGGCTGGCATCCTTTCCCAAATGAAAGCAGCCGTCTTTGGCATTGCTGCGCTTTAATCCTGAAATTGGTCAGCACTGATCTTTGAATGTTTCCTTACCTTCTTCCTCTGTTCTTGCCTTGCTGCTTTTTTACGGTATCCCTCTCTGCCTGTGAGAGGGGACTTGTCTCCTATAAATCTGAGAAGTGTGATGGAAGAAATTTGTGCCTGGGGTATTGTACAGAGTTTGAACCGGTGCTCCAGCATCATCACTGCAGGTTCAGGTTTTTGTCAGCTAAAGAGAGAAATTATCAGTACAAATTCTCCTTCAAATCTCACGTTAAACTCCAGCTTAAATGCACGGGCTTAAAAATCCCAATAAATGCACCTTCTCATGCTATAAACTAAAGAGAGAAATTATCAGTACAAATTCTTCTTCAAATCTCATGTTCAACTCCAACTTAAATGCACGGGCTTAGAAATCCCAATAAATGCACATTCTCATGCTATAAGACACTTATTAGCTCATAAGGCATTTTAATTTCAGAAGTGTTTGGAGTGCCCCATTCACTTGGAGACTTGGTTGTACATGACAGTGTCTGTACAGCAAGTTCTTCTGCTTTAATGGAAAGGATGGAGGAGTTCTGTTTGTTTTGTTTGGGTTTTTTTTAAACACGGAGCTTCTTTTCCCAAACTGTCTGATTCATATAGTTACAAAATTTCAGTTCCTGAATTTTTCCTTCCTTAGCTTTGGTAATACTATCTGGTCCTTCACAGAATTTCCAGTCTGTGGACATTCAGGGAAGAAGCAGGCTTCCCTTCTTAAAGGAGGGAGAGGAAAAAAGACGAAATCTTTCTTCTCTCTTTTCTGTATTATTAAAAAGAATGTTCTTTAAAAAGACCTGTTGGACCTTTCTTCTCAGGATATCTCGTGTAAACAGCCTGACCCTTTTCCATTTGCTGTAAGATCTTAAGCAGTAAAAGTGTCAAGTGTCTCAGGAAGATTTCTGATGATAAGCAGGAAAGCCCACGTGGGTTTCCTCAGCCCACCTTGCCAGCCTCTCGGAGACTCCCCGGTGGGTGTGTTACCCTACTGGGGAACAGGCTGAAGACCAGCCTGCTTCTCCACAGCGTACCGCTGTCTCCCTCCAGGTCAGTCAGAGCAGACCAACAGGCTGAATGGGAACAGGACCATGGGACTGATGGCACCAGCTTCTAGGGACAAGAATGAATCTTGGCTTGGTGGTATCCTGGCACAAGTTTGGTCCGATATCTCCTTGGAAGCAGTGCGTCTTAGGATCAATCCCAGCTAGTTTGGAGCTGGACTTGATGCGCAGTGTGTTAGGGAAGATGAATAGTGAGAGTTGCCAGAAGGATGGCAGTGATCCCTGAATAACAGGGGAGGAAGAGATGTGATCCTGGCCGTGCTCGCAGGCTCATATTGATCTGGAAGTTCTGGGCTAGTCACTGCTGCCAGTACCACTTTCCCCCCATCCCTCCCCACCTTTGTAGGTAACGTGCCAACCAGAGCTGAGCTATCTCCTTTCTTTGTAGACTGAATGTGAATAATATCCAGGAGACTTGCCAGAAGAATGCTGCCTCAGCCTTGGCTGTGGGACGGAGGGATCTCGTGCAGGTATTACGTTGAATCAGACCTCTTCCTCAGCATGCTGTGCTACCCTCAAACGGCTTGCACTGTCGCCTGGCTACCCCAACAGTCAGCAGTTGTTCCAGGGAGTCTCTGGTTGGTGAACCGAGGCCTGTGGGACAGCCACGGAGGTGGTCTCTACCTCAGTGACTCTTGGTATCGAGAGATTCCTTCCCAGGGCTGCAAGCAGATTGTGTTATGCCCTTTGCCAAACTGAGTGAAGCACATTTTTTCAGGGAATTCCTGCAGGCAAAGCGAGGAATGCAGCCTGCTTTTGAGTCAGCAAATGGAGTAACTGTGCACACAGTTGCCTAGCTGCTGTCAGCATTTTGATCGGTGATTTTGTCTTACTTATGTAATCGTTCCCGTTGTTTGCTATTCATCTGCGCTGGCACTGGGTGCTGACTGCAGCTAGCTTCTTCCCAAGAGAGTCTGAGCCCAGGCACCCAGCCCCAGAACAGAGCTGGCCACTTACCTTCAGCTAGCAATACGAGAAAAATGGCTATTTGGGCCCATCCTTTGCCGTGTGATTAGTCCATCGCAACAGGCAGAACATTTGACAGGACTCAGGAGTGCCTGATAGAGATGGGAGCGGGCTGGCACTGCCAGAGGAGCCTGTGCACCTCTCCTGAGCATTTGGCTCTTCCTAGACCTGGGCAGGGAACATGCATAGGCTTACCTGATCTAAGCAGAAGCAAACTCAAGCTGTTGCGTTGCTTCTTGGTGGGTTCTGCTAGACCAGGAGAGAGAAGGTATGTCTAGTTCCCCTTTGTCTGTGCTTCATCTTGCTGTCTGGTTTGCCCACGTTGGACCAGAGCTCGGGTGGAATAACTTCAGCAAGATTTCTCTGATACACCTCTGTTTCTTGCTTGTTTTTCCCTTCAACGTGTAACTCCAGCCTGTATTGCAGCTTGCCTTGTTCCTAGCAGACAAGGAGACTGGAGTTGCAGGTTACATGTAAGATGTGCTCTATAGCAGTGTAGGAAGTGGCGTCTTTCCCGTGTCCTTCCTGTGCTCTGTGCTCTCTTGTACTCAGCCCTGTCCTTGTTTCAGTTTCTCTCCTGTTGCTTTCTCTCTGGTTTCACAGTGAGCAGCTGTGGGACTACTGACTGGTCTGTTAGACTATAGACTATTCTTCAAAGTTTAACCCAAACTCAAAGCAAGTGGGACAGGGAACGCTTCGGTTTTGTGTTACTCTATATTATTTGTGACACAGAGGCTGAAACTGTTCCCTGCTGCCGGGGGGCGGGGGGAAGAAGCAAGCTCCATTATTACCCGTCTGTGAGTGAATCTGTGCACACCTATACCCTGGGAGTGTGGTTACTTCTAATTGTAGCTTTGATGCTTTTCCTTCCTGTCTGCCAGGTTTGGTCACTGGCCATGGTAGCCACTGATCTCTGTCTTGGACCAAAGTCTGACCCAGATTTGGAGATACCTTGGGCACAACATCCATTTGGACGTCAATTACTGGAGTCCTTGTAGGTGTCTGAATGCTGGGAAGGGGTTGGGGAACGGTTGCTGAAGCAGAGCCTTCCATAACTATGTACGTTGTATGGCATCATTTCAGACTTGGAATAGTGCCACAGCTTGTATTTTTTTTTTCCTCTCTCAAGCCTGAGATGCATCAAGAAGGGAAGATGCAAGTGTGTTTATGACATGCAGGAGGCAGCATTTGGCCTTCCATCTAGCACCCAGGTCTTCTTTGGCTAACATTGAGCAATAGGCCAGGTGCAGCTGGAGCTCTGCTTTCCGGCATGCCCACAACGCCTGACTTGGAGATTTTGGTTTTCTGCTCCCCACCTCCTAAATGAGTGTGTTGGCACACCTGATTCGTTCACCTTCAAATTCCCTGTTGCCGTATAGCATTACTGGGAAGTCATTCCAACTCCAACAAAGCCAAGTGTTAGCTGCAAATGTCGTCCTGCCAGTGAATCTGTTCAGGAGGGGACATAATTAGTAATTGATATTATCTGTTGATATACCCTATTTGGAGGCACAGGATTTGTGTGGTGTACTCTGCCTACTGTTGCTTGACCTAGCTCTTTCCTGCTGTGTGGCAGCAGTGGGAGGGGAGCACAGGTTGTTCTTCGTCATTCTCAGTCTTCAGAGCAATCCAGGAACTTCATAGCCCTCCAGTAAACCTGTGGTGGGGTTTTGCCTTGAGATCTAGATGCAGGATGCTTGCGTGTAGAGGGTTTTGTCAAAAAGACATTGTGGCCGGGGGTGAGTCTAAAGGCTCCAGCTTTACGTCCAGTTAAAATCAGTTCTGTGGACGTTGTTCCGGAAGCTGCACAAACTTGGGATAATCAGGCCACGAGTACTGCTGGATTCCCAGAGCTCCCATCTTTCTCCTGCCTGTTAGGCCACGAGTGTTTTCAGAAGGAGGACTTGGCTCCTCAAAGGTGTGACGGAAAAGGCAACCCAGTCCTGCAGAGCACGTATGCCTCCTGTGGGCAGTAACGTGACCCAAATCGATTTATGCAACAGGCTTGAAATTAGTTGCCCTGGAGTCTCAATACTTTTGCCACTGAACTCTGCCCAGTCTCATACTCGCTGTGTTTTTCAATTCCCAGGCTGGCTCATTACTCGCAGCTCCATGATGTGCAGACCCTGGCCATGCTGTGCAGCGTGTTTGAAGCCCAATCCAGGCTACAGGGGTGCCCAAACTCCTATGGCCCCTTTCCTCAGCGTGCCTCCAACCTGGCTTCCCACAGCCGATATGTATGACCGCCATTTCTGTCCCGTTTGTCTTGGATATCTTTGAACATCTCTCACGTAGATGACATGATTTCCTCTCCTTTCCCCCTCAACAGCCAAGCTTTACTTCCTCCGGCTCCTGTTCCAGCATGTCAGATCCTGGACTCAGCACCGGAGGCTGGAGCATAGGTACAGAGACCTGGGTAGTAAATAGAGGAATCTGCCTCCCTTCTGGGCTAGGTTTTAGATGGCTCCTGTGGTGGGGAAAGAAGGGAGTTAGTACTGGCTGTGGTTGCAGATGTGCTCTGCCAGAGCAGCTTTCTGGGGTTTGGCCAATGTGATGTGACTCCATGGCTGGAAGTGAGCAGGGCTTGCAGTAACCGTGTTGATGCTCCGGCAGTCCTGCCCGTTCTGACTTCTGTAGCGTGCTGTCCAACTGGGAGAAACTGTTACAAACACCCTAGACATACCGAGCTAGGCCCCTGGATCACAGGTTAACCCAGAGCCAAGAGCTCCCACTGCTGCCTTTTCCAGTTGGAGACAAGTAAAGAGAGAGACCAGTTTGTACCATTTTTGTTTCCAGCCTGGCTGTAGCAAGCACTCAAGGTGTCTGCCTCGATGCTGCCTGGGGCCGTAAGCTTTCCACAGCCCTAGCACTTTGCACTGTTTGAGGCTGTTATCCATGCCAACTACTCCTGATAATTTCCTTGTCCTTCATGTGCCTGGAAATGGTTCCCAGAATTAGCTGCTCCGTCACCTGCCCAGTGATCGAGGCGAGGCTGACTGGCCTGCAGTTCCCTGGGTCCTCCTTCTTGTCCTTTTTGAAGACAGGAGTGACATTTGCTTTCCTCCGGTCCTCAGGCACCTCTCCCAATCGCCATGATCGTTCAACGATTATCGAGAGTGGCCTCGCAGCGTCATCAGCCAGCTAGTTCCACAGGATTCAGGGGAAGAGGCAGTGTTGTGCTTTCTCCTGCCACTGGAAAAACAGCAGCAGTTGGGAAGGCTGGGTTCTCGGTGGCATGAACACCCGTGGGCCTAAGGACGTTTTCTGCTGAGCTGTGAAGGTGTCAAAGACAAGTCACTCTTAAGGGCTCCAGTGTCAGAGTTGAAGCTGTTGGCTGATTCCTAGTGATATACGTGGCCTTGGGGCAGCATCAGCCCTGTTAGCACCAAAGCTGTAACTTTTCAGTGCGATATCAAGGCATCTGTGACATGGGGAAGAGTGGAGAATGGGGGTTAATGGAGCTGATGTTGTCTTGTAGCGGTTATTAGCAGTCTTCTCCCTGCCCCCGGGGCAATACCTTACCTACAGAGGCCCCTTTACGTAACAGCAGCCCTGGTGATGAGAGTCCTCCCTGTCTAGGAAAGAGGAGCCCAGGCCTGCCGGGGATAACGTTCCCAAGCAAATTCCATGGGATTGATTCCCTGGAGACTTTTTGCCTAAAGTGGAAGGCAAAAAGGATTCCTCCGTGTTACGTTTCTCTGCCCGATGATTCCCATTCCCATCCTGTCGCCAGAAGTGCAGTAGGAGCACTGGCAAGTAGAGGTTGGCACTTAGTTTTCTGAGGCAGGGCAGTATTTGTAGGAATGCAGAAGGTATACGACCATGCCTTAGAGAGAAAACCAGGGTGTGCGAATGTGTGGTCTTCCATGTCTCCTTCCCCACCCCGGTTTTGACGCGGTTGTGCTCGTGAGCGCTGTGCTTTCTGAGGTACGCTCACAACCTTTTGCTGCTTGCAGCAAACAAAGACACGGAGCAGGCCTCCACTCCCTGGTGCGAGTCTTCTCCGGATGACTTCCGCTACGGAAACCTAATGTATCCCGATCATCGGGAGCGTGAGAAAGACCAGCACGAGAAAAACAAAAGGTAGGTTATAGCGCGCCTGGGGGGGATTCAGGGATGCGTCACTCTGTGCCCGAGTCAGCTGGAACTCTATAGCTAGGTCTCTGTTGATGCTGTGAAAACTAGAAGGGAAGCAGCTCGCCTGCTCCTAGACCTTTTCATTCAGATAGTCATTCGGAGAAGCTTCATACCGCAGATCAACTCTGCTGGGCTTGCATATGGTACATCTATAAGTGGCCGTGGTGGGGGCCCCAGAGAGTAGTCCACCCATTCGTCACACCCTTGAGGGTAGACCAAGTGAAGGCCAGGCCAGTTAGTGTTCCAGCAACACGTGGGAAGTAATCTGCTGCTCTTTAGCAACGTGAGCTGGTTGCATAGCCATCACTGGGAAAGAGGATTGCAACCAGAGTCTCGGAGAGTCAATCGGGTGGATGACAATGCTGTTTGTTCCTCTAGGCTCCTGGATCCTGCCAACACTCAGCAATTTGACGACTTTAAGAAGTGCTATGGAGAAATCCTTTACCGCTGGGGCCTGCGAGAGAAGCGGGCTGAGGTTCTGAAGTTTGTCTCTTGTCCTCCTGATCCCCACAAAGGAATTGGTGAGTGCCTGCTCCGGCTGCCCGGGCAGAGTCACGGCTCTGCCTTGGGGGCTTAGGAACATGCAGTCAGCAGGTGGGATGAAAAGCATCCATCGATCTGCCCAGAGGTTAGCTCTGCCAGCAAATGGTTTGAGCTTCTTCGCAGCTCTGGGTGGAGATGAGGCTTGCAGATGTTGGTTCAAGGGCTTTGTGGACTGTAACAGCTCTCCAGCGAAGCTGGAAACACACGTACTGCTATGCGAGCAATGTTCAGCTCTTTGTGCTGATGGCTGTTCTTTATTCCCGCTGAATAAAAGCCCAGACACGCGCTGTGCTAATCTCTGGTTCTGGGCTGAAGTGTCCTTATAGTGCACGCGTAAAACTGCAAGATCTCTAACTGTGGGTGAGCTAGCCAAGAAATAGGCAAATAGAATGTTTCTCCCAAAATATTTCCAACAGCGTAGCTGCCCAGAACTGCCACTTAAGGACAGCTTCTATCTTCTTCCTGGGCCTCTGGGAAAAGATGCACGTGCCCTGGGAGGAGAGAAGCGGGTGCGAGGCGCCAGAGAAGCTGCGGTTGCTTGCCTAGCTCTTGTTACAGTCTCGCCTTGTCACCAGGGTCTATTCCTGGGGAGTAACTGGAGTGAAAATTGGTGACTTCGACCACTGCCGTTGTCCCTCCATGGCTAATAGTCACGACACTGATACAGCACGCGTTGAGTGCACTCTGTGCTCTCTCCGTGATGGGAAACAAAGGCCGTTCTCGTTTGCTCTATGTTAGTTACACTTCATAGTGATGCGAGGCAGACGAGACCAGCAGGAAGCCTTCATCTCCGCAGCATGGGCCAGCATGTTCCGAGCTAGAAATCTGACACACGTTCCCAGCCGACAGCAATTTAGTCATCAGGGGAATCGGTGGGCCAGTGTGTGCCCGGCATGCCGATCGCCCATGTCTTTGCTCCCATATGGAGACCAGCTAAGACCTCTGTAAGATACCGTTCTCCCACCCTGAAGGAGATTTGAGGCAGATCTCTTGGGCAGTGGGTTCGGGGGACTCATCTGTTGAACGGGGAGGCTGTATGCAGGGCTTCTTTGTCCACGATTCTGCCAGCACTAATTGTCTCGCTCTCCGTTTCTTTCCTCCGGCCAGAGTTCGGCGTGTACTGCAGCCACTGCCGCAGCGAGGTGCGCGGCACCCAGTGTGCCATCTGCAAGGGCTTCACCTTCCAGTGCGCTATCTGTCACGTGGCGGTGCGAGGCTCCTCTAATTTCTGCCTGACCTGCGGACACGGAGGCCACACCAGTCATATGATGGAGTGGTTTCGCACCCAGGAGGTGTGTCCCACGGGCTGTGGATGCCACTGCCTGCTTGAGAGCACCTTCTGAGCAGTGGTGACAGCAGGGCACCCGTGAACAGGATTTAATATTTAATTCCCAAGCCATGTTGAATCAGCTCTGCTCCACAGTGCCTGGAGGAGATGCCGCAAGGAGCTGAAGCAGGATGTCCTGGCGGTGCGCTGCAGTGACGTTTACAAGTGCTTCCAGTATTCCTACACTTCCCAGGTTGCTTTCAGGCTGATTTGACCAAACTCCCGGTGTCCATTGCTGGCAATGGATGCCAGACCAGAAAAATTGCTCTCTCCGGCAGAAGGGTGTGTGAATGTTGGCTAGGCTCTGTTGGGATGAGGAGGTGTTAAAAAGCTCCTTCGGAAAGGGCTCGCCTGGCAGAGCCAAACTCACTCCAGCTACGTAGTGTCTTTCCAGGTGCCTCCTTCCAGGGGCTCAAAGTGAGCGAAACAGTCGTCTTTGCACAGTTAAGGCAGAAATAATTCACAAACAACAGTGAGCTCTAAAGGCAAACTGTAAACTGCGCTCGAAGAGCAAATAGTCCATGGGACCGTGCTCAGAGTTACTTTTGGAAGCAACAGGGTCCTTATTTTGAATGGCTGTTTACATCGTTTAGATTACCCCATAAAGCAAGAGAACGAAACTACAGTTTTCAGGATTACTTCCTAAATAGCTTCCTACTCACCGGTCGGTATCTGTGGCTGGTGTGAAAAGCCCAGCCGTGCGCCCAAGGTCACTGGGATTAGTTGCTTTCTTCCAGCTGTTGTAGTACCGTTACTCTTGAGGTGTCTCCACCTCCTGCTCTGACCGGGTGATAGATGCACTTTAACTTGCCTGTCCCTGCCTTGTCAGTGACACGTCCTGGTGACTGGGAAAGGCATCTGCCTTTTGAGTTTGGGATCCACACGGTGTTTCCATGGATGGTGGCATCTGGGGGCGTTTCGGAAAGCCTTTGCTTCCTTACTGAGAAAACAAGGAGGACGCTTGCTCCGTGCAACTCCTTTTGGCTGTTTTCTTCATTAGGGGGGGAATCAACAAAAAATTTGAGATTTGCTGCCGGTGTGCTTGAGTGACGAGGCTCCTGAGCCGGGGAGGCGGCAATTTCTAGGGGAAAAAGGGGTTTTGGAAGGGTGGTGGGATTCACGGAGGCAAAAGGTTTGTGCCTTTTCTCCCTGTGGAGCTTCAATTGGAGAATGTACCGGATCGATCCGTCTGTCTGGGGCTGTGCCTGCTGGGCGCTCCCATCCCAGGGACGCTGCTGTGCCACTGCCTGCGTGGTTGTGCGCACACCCTGAGCGCGCAGCCTGCGCCTCTCCTGAGCAGGCTTCTGCCTGAGCTTTGGTTTTGGGCAAACGTGTGGTCAGGGATGAGCCCGCTGGAGCACCCCCCCACCCCGCGCCGGCGCTGATCCCTTCCTCCCGTGCTTGCCTGCTGAGCAGGGCCACGTGCCGTGCCCGCTCCCAACCTTTGTGCTAACTCAGGCTGCGGGATCCTGCTGTGGAAGAAACAGATGGTGTATCTTAAACATTAAAACATTAAAATTATTTTTTTAAGTGCTGTTCTGATAGAACTTGGTGTTGCTGTGCTAGTTCTCCCTCCGTGGGGAGCCCCCAGCAGCTCTCCCTCCCAGTGCGGCGGTCAGCGTGGCACCCCACGACCCTCTCCCTGCACCCCAAAGCGGGGGTCCCGCTCCGGATACCTGTGCCCGGTGGCAACAGAGACCTGCGGCAGCTTGGGGGGGCTCACCGGCTGCTGCTGGGATCCCCAACCCTGGCTCTCGCAGCGGCTGCG